TTACAACAAAAAGATCAAGAAAGAAAAATAGCATATTAGAATTCTAATGGAACTTAAAGCAAAAAAATAACCATTATTTTAAATTAAATTCCAATCTAATCTGTTTAATTGAGAAAATAATAAGAAAATGATAGTTAGTATTCAATATTAATTAAATAAATATTCAAAAAAATAGAGTATATTACTAAAACATGTTAAAAATTGTACTTAGACTTGTATAGTATCTGCAACTAATTATGGCTCTTGTGTAGATAAATTTAATAGACATTTAGATAATAACTAATGTATTTTAGATAATGGGTATTATGAAAATACTTCTTGGTAACTAAATTAATTATTATATATTAGCTGTACTTCATCATCAGTATTTACTTCATATAATGATTTGACATATTTAGCCAATTTTTGGGTGATTTTGCGCTTACAATCCTGGTGAATTTTGTTAATCCTTTCTATAATTGTTTTTGAAGCGATAATTGATCTTTTGCTTTAGATTAACAAATCTAATTCTCCAAAAAAACTGTATGGAGTAATTTATCCAATCTTTAGAAAGGAAAAGTAAACAATCAAGTATTTGACTTAATCTTGTTTTCAGAGCATCTAAAATTTTCTAAAAGCTTTCAATGCATAAAATATATGGCTAGATTAAGAGCATATATTGTTAAATCTTTTTTCTCTTTATAATATATCAAAATTTTATCTAAGCAATTGAAAATCTACAATCTAAGCATTAGATGGATTCTATTGAGGACAAGACTTATATATGAGCCTTATATCTCAATAATTAAGAATCCAAAATAGCAAACGCGATTTGCTGTTATTGTTGTTTGCATAAAAAATCTTCTTCTTTTTCTATTAAATTTGGTTTAGGAAATTACATTAAATTTAATAATGAAAGAGATAAATTAATTTTTGTAATTGTTTGAAAATTAAAGTTACAAAATAAATGTGCTTTTAACAATTAGGCTTGAATGTTATTGAGGTAAAACCAACAAATTTAATAATATAAACTTGTGCATAAATTGTACCTTTAAGAAAATAGAATATATACGCTACCTTGTAAAAATATGTTAAATTAATATGTTTTAATCAGGATTACTTAAATTACTATTTTTATTTGATTATTACTCTGATATTTTAATTACTCATATTAAATAAGAATAAACCTTATGTCTCTCAAAATTATAATACATCTTTTTTATTTGTAAAAATGAATGCAAAATCATTTGAGGTTTTCATTCACACAGAGTTTAACCAAATTGGGAAATAAATATGAGGTTGATAGACAAACTCCATTGGCTATTAAAAAGAAATAAAGGTTTTGTAACGGAAAGATAATTAGAATGTTATCATGTTAATTTTTGTAATGGTGAAAGAGATATCCTAGAACCTTGACTATATTTAATAATGCAAGGGAAAGCTTTTCTTAGATAAATAGCAATATCTTTAATTGTCGAAAACTATCTAAATGATTGTTAAATGCTCTTACTTAGAACATTTGAACATGAAAATAATAATTTGTTTTTTTAGAAGAAGATTATTAAGATTATCTGAATGATTTATACAAACTTTTGTATGATAATTTTGAAGATTTTAGGAGTCAATTAATGAAACTCAAAATACAAAAATTAATTGATTTTGTAAAATGACTCAAGGGTAATAAAAATTCACAGATTCTATTTATATTTTCGAATTAAGAACTCAAATCTTCTTGATCTAAAAAAATTAAATATTGATGCATGGATAATATTTGTTCCTCTTAATTTTCTTAAATATCACTTTTATTGGAAATCATTCAGAATTAGTTGATTGGAATATTAAAATAGATTTAAATAAATTATTAGTCCAAATACTCATCCATTTTGGATAAATGTCAAGTAGCTTTATGTTTGAATTTACCGATGAAAATTATGAGTGATGGAATAAATAATCTAAGGTGAAAAATAATAGTGAAGATAAATCTCAACTAATTTATATAGGTGCTCCTGCTGAATTTGTTTAAATAATTGTTTGAAGAAATTTAATATAGCTTCAAAAGAAATTTAAAATTCGATCATTACCGAATTCTTAATGATTAGGGTAGGGTATTAGAAAGTGATGATAATTCATTAATAATCAGCATTGAAAATTTCAATTATATATCTTTCATATGATTATAAGTTACTAATTAAAACAAGAAATAAATTAATTTAATTATAGAAATTTTTCAGATCATAGACATAGAAAATCTATTCTTATAATTATAAAATTAGTTTAAGGTTTTGAGATATCAACAGGATTTTATGTCACTTAATGATAATTATTATATTAGAAAATAAATTCATACTTTATGAACTCTTAAGGTTTAAATCCTAATAATCATTCCATTAGCATCTTTCTCCTCCGAACATAAAAGAAAGTTAATAGGAATTATTTCTTGAAAACTTCAAAATTTTAATTGTTTGATCGAGCATTTAATGATATATTCTACCTTAAGATAATAATTAAATACATATATGATATTAGTTTTATTAAAAAAGTATAATGAACAATCTTAATAAAACCTAGTTGCATTTATTTAATAAAAATTATTTAATTAATAATTAATTGATTTAATATAAATATTAGGATGATGACCTAATATTAAGAAAAGTAATGTTGGGAATTATCACTCAATCACAGTAACTCGCTCTTAATTGCTGCATCTTGTAATAACATAAAGATCTTTTAATTTAAAAATGGGCTTTGTAACAACTCTAAATTTCTTTAAAATTAATGCATAGTTTATATTATATCTGGTTCAAGTGATTCTACAATAATATGATCATCCCTAAATATATTAAACTCTAAATATTTTTAAATTATATAGACACTCTTCATAGATTTATTGTTTAAATCTACATCCAAATTTTAAGATTGAATTATATGTAATTAAACGGGGACTTTCGTCAAATTTTGGTCTCATTCTAACTATTAACCTAAGTTAGACTTAATATGGAAGTGTCCATAAACATTTGATGACCATCCAGAACCTATTTGGGCTTTATCAATTAATTAACAAGGAAATAATTCGATTTATTGTAGTTAAGACAAATCAATTGTAGTCCTTCTAGATAAGAATTCAAATATTTGGTAATTTACATAAAAGATAATAATGGATAAGTGGGGATCTAGATTGTGTTTCTTGATCGTTCATATATTAGCCAAATCAAAAGGATAGTATCCATGGAAAGGATATAAATATCTTTATTTATTTATATAAAATCCTTCAAATAAAGAATTTTTAAAATATCAAGATATTCCAGTTCATGATAATGGGCCATTTACTCTTATCTCAAATTTATAATCTTTCCAAATAACTTAAAGTCTCAAAAAATGGAAACCAAGTCAATTTATTTAAAATAAGTTTCAAATCTTATGAATTTCAAATATCTTATGCATTAAAGTTAAGATAAAGACAAAATACAGTGGAAATAAAGTTTTGAAGGTTGTTGATAAAATCAACACATTTTAAACCATTTGAAATTTTGCAAAGCTTTTATCTTTCTGAATATAGAATTAAATAAATAACTAAATTGTGGAAAAATTATATGATTAATTATTACAACTTATTATTTAATAAAAAATGAAATTTTAATTTTATTTATAAAATGAATCATTGTTTATAAAAATATCCCATATTTGATAATGTCACTAATTAATACAAATAAAAGAATTGAGGCTAGTAATAGATAAGCCTCGAATATTATTAATCATAGACTAATAATCCTGTTTTAAACATTTAATTAAATGTATTAAATTATTAAGCGTTATTATAGTTTTCTAAATTAGATTAAAACAATGCACTAATCATCAATTAGATTAAATCGTAATAAAGATGATTGGGAAATAAATAAATTATTTGAAATCCAACTATCTCTAGAAGCTAGAACTAATTTCAATATTTATAAAAGAAATTTAAATGGTTATTGCAAATTATTAGAATTGATAAATATAAAATAAATAGATTATCAATAACTAACTAAAGAGTATGAAGCATTAAGTTTGAGAACTATTTAGTTTAAAGAAGAAATATCAATTCTTAAGCAATAAAATGTGAGTATCATCGTTATTGATATGGTGATAGCGATTAGACTATGCATTTATAATAAAGCTGATTTTATGAACTGTTGGACATCTTGATCCCAAAAAAATAATTTTCAAGTAAAGTAACATTTGGAGATGCTAAAACGTTTTGCCATAAAAATTAATGTAGTTTTTTTGTATCAAATTCAAAGAAACATCTTAATAATCTGAACATTGAAGAACTTTTGAAGTTTTCTCTTATTATATCAGTGTAATAAGTAAAATAATAGATATTCATTAAATTATTAGCATAACTGGTTTTGTACGCAAGATAAAACATTAGCAATTACAATTTTGTTAAAATACATAAAGAGAGAACTCCACATTGTTGATATCTGGCTGAATATTCTAATTCCCTTTCCAATAACAATAATCATATTGGTGGCTATGAAAATATCTAAGAGTATTAGATGATTATATTGTATCCAACTAATAAACTTAATATTTGTAACAAATGATATTAGTATAATGTGAAAAAGTTATTATAATGATTTGACTTATTTTACCTAATCCACAAGAATTATGATGTATACTTAGGGAAGGACCTATGCTTAAAAAAGGGCCTACCAAAATTAAAGTTAGTAAGAATTATATTAATTGCTTATTTGCAGAAGCAGAATATGATAATAAGATTGGATCAAAAGTAAAAGTAATTTAAGCATTCTAATTCAAAATGCTCACAAGTTAAATACCTATTTATGATCATTTTAACAGCATCAACAGTATACAGTCAAATCATTGCCTGCTTCACCATCTGTTAATCGATAAAAATATAAACTAGCCAATATCCCCCCAAATAAAGCACTTATAATCATTAAAAACATCATAGTTTATTATGAATAGTAAAATTAGGACGTTTTATAAATGATAATCTACTCCTATGAAATTTAAATAAGGTCAATTTATAATCTGAAAAATACTGAAAATACTTCATTTATTAAACTATAATTTTCCATTCTTTGTATTATAATCATGTAGATTTATTTTCAATCATATTTATATTAAAAAATTCAATATTATTATCATCAAGAAAGAAGTAATTCATTTATCATTCTGATCTTACAAAATTAATTTTAGCATCAGACAAGTGGAATGTTCAGCTTTTATAAGAATATCAGTCGAAGTAATAGAGAACCACTAATATAATTATTATGATTACCATTACTTCTAATTTGTNGGGAAATAAATAAATTATTTGAAATCCAACTATCTCTAGAAGCTAGAACTAATTTCAATATTTATAAAAGAAATTTAAATGGTTATTGCAAATTATTAGAATTGATAAATATAAAATAAATAGATTATCAATAACTAACTAAAGAGTATGAAGCATTAAGTTTGAGAACTATTTAGTTTAAAGAAGAAATATCAATTCTTAAGCAATAAAATGTGAGTATCATCGTTATTGATATGGTGATAGCGATTAGACTATGCATTTATAATAAAGCTGATTTTATGAACTGTTGGACATCTTGATCCCAAAAAAATAATTTTCAAGTAAAGTAACATTTGGAGATGCTAAAACGTTTTGCCATAAAAATTAATGTAGTTTTTTTGTATCAAATTCAAAGAAACATCTTAATAATCTGAACATTGAAGAACTTTTGAAGTTTTCTCTTATTATATCAGTGTAATAAGTAAAATAATAGATATTCATTAAATTATTAGCATAACTGGTTTTGTACGCAAGATAAAACATTAGCAATTACAATTTTGTTAAAATACATAAAGAGAGAACTCCACATTGTTGATATCTGGCTGAATATTGTAATTCCCTTTCCAATAACAATAATCATGTTGGTGGCTATGAAAATATCTAAGAGTATTAGATGATTATATTGTATCCAGACTAATAAACTCAATATTTGTGATTATACAAATGATATTAGTATAATGTGAAAAGTTATTATAATGATTTGACTTATTTTACCTAATCCAGAAGAATTATGATGTATGCTTAGGTAAGGACTTATGTTTAAAAAAGGGCCTACCAAAATTAAAGTTAGTAAGAATTATATTAATTGCTCTATTTGCAGAAGCAGATATGGTAATAACATTGGATCAAAAGTAAAAGTGATTTAAGCATTCTAATTCCAAATGCTCACATGTTAAATACCTATTTATGATCATTTTAACACCATCAACAGTATACAGTCAAATCATTGCCTGCTTCACCATCTGTTAATCGATAAAAATATAAACTAGCTAATAAACCCCCCAAATAAAGCACTTATAATCATTAAAAACATCATAGTTTATTATGAATAGTAAAATTAGGACGTTTTTATAAATGATAATCTACTCCTATGAAATTTAAATAAGGTCAAATAAATTCTTCACCACTTCCTTCCAGCGTTTTTATTTGGTCTCTATTATCTATATTTTAATTATTTCGATGGCAAAAATTCTACGACAATGAACTAAAAGTATAAATAATAATTTCTAAACATTACCAACAATAGTTTAGTTGTTGGCAAATCTAATATATATAGAATTTTAAAATGGAACTTGTGGAGAATTAGTTGACATCTGAAATACTAATAATATTTTTACAATTTATATATGAATATAAACTATACTATATTAATTAGATAATTTCAATTTCAAATAAAATGTTTAATCTCTTTATCTATTCATTTAAGGTGTTATTTATTTGATCAAAGAGAAAAGGCCAAAAGTACCCCTAATATACTCATATGACACTTTCAAAATTCATTTTACCCTATATAAAATTATTATCTTAAATATAATTAATTTATCTGACTTATTTAGAAAGAGATTTTCAAAAATAAACAATTCATAATAAAATATTTTATTTAGAAGAGAGATTTTCCCTTTTTGGGATAACTCTCATTTCACTTTTTTCCTATACTATTTTAATTATACTTATTAAGTTTTTTTGATTTTAATATACTAAGCTGAATAATCTTGAATTATTTTTAGAGTATGAAAGCAGTTAAATAATTGATAAAGCATTTATCCTAAAAGATTAAGAACCAAGTTTAATGTAGGATTATATTGAATGAATGACAATTTATAGATGCAGGCATACAATTGTCCATTCTAATAAAGCAGCTGTAGCTTATGGGTATTCGAAAAATCAATTAAGCAAGGTTGTCAAAAGCAATATTAATACTTAAACGATATTCTCATTAAATAAATTATTCTATTTATTTATCTTAAGTGCTTAAATATATCTACTTTGATTAATTACTTAATAAATACTAATTATTCAAGGTATTCAGAAAATCTAAATTTCTTATCTAATCTCACTTGCAAATTATATATAATTATTAAATTGAATTTAAACAGAAAATATTTCAAACTATATATAGAAAAGTAATAAAATTATTATCATTTAATATAAAATTTTAGATTATTAAATACTAAGGATGTTATGTATTAATAAAATTAATTTATATATATTGAAAAAAATAATATAAATATTGTATTAATAAAAATAATGAATGTTGAATGCGATTTTGTTATGAATGTTTCATTTTTCATGTATCAAAAAAGAGAGACACTTCAAATATTTATGAATGCTATAAATTATGGAATATAAAAAGAGAAAAAATTGATATAGATAATCCCTATTAAGTTCATTTATTAGACATCTTACCAATAATACTTTATTTACTATCTATTATGAGAAGGTTGGCTTGGCTTTCCTTAAGTCTAGAAGACTTTAAAAATTAAATCATTCTTAACTTTAATGTTTATCAAACCATCTGCTGAAATTTAATTAGATAAAATTGTGTTTAAGTAGAAATTCTAATAAGAATTAAAGTTACTTCCAGCTTAAGAAGAAAAAAATAAATCTTTTTATGAAGAAGTAGTAAAATAAATGTAAATTAAATGTTATTTGTTTGAAAAATACTATAAAACAGTGTTTAAATAAATTTAATATCTAAGAAATAAATCAAATTAAAAGTATAAAAAGGAGTAAATTTTCAGTCTATTTATTTATTTTTATAAGTAGTTAATAATTCAATATATGGATCTTGTTAACAATAAATAGAAGATTCTGATCTTATAGAAGATCTTCTAATCAATAATAAGATGGTTAGAAAAAAATTAATGCACTGTAAACCTTATTTTCATACATAGGGTTGATACGTTTAACATATTAAATCACTTATTTTTAAGATAAAGATGTGATAAAATAGAGTAAGAAAATACTTCTCTTGAAAATACCGAATCAGCTTAAATTTATATGGATAAAATAAAATATCACATTATGTGATTACAAATTATATCAAAAATAATGAAATCTAATCTTGTAGTTCCAATAGCCTTTATGTAAATTGTAACCAATATTAAATATTTTCTAGTGAAAACAAACCTTAGTTTTTAAAGAAATAATAAACCTTCATTTAATTAGAATAAGAAGTTGAAAATTTAGTATCACAAGTATAAAATGAACTAATTATTCAATAACTGAAAGACTTTAAACTAATTCCAATTGTATAAAAGGGAGATAAAATTGGAAGACATTCTAATAATTAAACTTAAATATAATCTTGNTACAATTATAAAATTGAATTTAAACAGAAAATATTTCAAACTATATATAGAAAAGTAATAAAATTATTATCATTTAATATAAAATTTTAGATTATTAAATACTAAGGATGTTATGTATTAATAAAATTAATTTATATATATTGAAAAAAATAATATAAATATTGTATTAATAAAAATAATGAATGTTGAATGCGATTTTGTTATGAATGTTTCATTTTTCATGTATCAAAAAAGAGAGACACTTCAAATATTTATGAATGCTATAAATTATGGAATATAAAAAGAGAAAAAATTGATATAGATAATCCCTATTAAGTTCATTTATTAGACATCTTACCAATAATACTTTATTTACTATCTATTATGAGAAGGTTGGCTTGGCTTTCCTTAAGTCTAGAAGACTTTAAAAATTAAATCATTCTTAACTTTAATGTTTATCAAACCATCTGCTGAAATTTAATTAGATAAAATTGTGTTTAAGTAGAAATTCTAATAAGAATTAAAGTTACTTCCAGCTTAAGAAGAAAAAAATAAATCTTTTTATGAAGAAGTAGTAAAATAAATGTAAATTAAATGTTATTTGTTTGAAAAATACTATAAAACAGTGTTTAAATAAATTTAATATCTAAGAAATAAATCAAATTAAAAGTATAAAAAGGAGTAAATTTTCAGTCTATTTATTTATTTTTATAAGTAGTTAATAATTCAATATATGGATCTTGTTAACAATAAATAGAAGATTCTGATCTTATAGAAGATCTTCTAATCAATAATAAGATGGTTAGAAAAAAATTAATGCACTGTAAACCTTATTTTCATACATAGGGTTGATACGTTTAACATATTAAATCACTTATTTTTAAGATAAAGATGTGATAAAATAGAGTAAGAAAATACTTCTCTTGAAAATACCGAATCAGCTTAAATTTATATGGATAAAATAAAATATCACATTATGTGATTACAAATTATATCAAAAATAATGAAATCTAATCTTGTAGTTCCAATAGCCTTTATGTAAATTGTAACCAATATTAAATATTTTCTAGTGAAAACAAACCTTAGTTTTTAAAGAAATAATAAACCTTCATTTAATTAGAATAAGAAGTTGAAAATTTAGTATCACAAGTATAAAATGAACTAATTATTCAATAACTGAAAGACTTTAAACTAATTCCAATTGTATAAAAGGGAGATAAAATTGGAAGACATTCTAATAATTAAACTTAAATATAATCTTGTTAATTCCATATAATCTCAGAAATTATATTAGAAGAAAGTATTAGTAGATTTCATCCTAAAATAATATTTTAAAATGAGTAAGAATTTGATAGACTGTCCTATATCCAGAAAAAAACATCAAGATGTTACAGTTGGAATAGAGCTTCAATAAGAAATTGAAAAGAATGATCCAATTTATTCATTGAAAGAATCTAGATGATAATAATTCTACTTTAAAATAAATGAACTAATAACATATGATATTATTCTGCTTTATTAAGACGATCACAATCATTTGAGTAAATTTAATATTGTAATAATTTTAATTCTTTAAATTATTTATATATATAAAATATTATACATATATATAAATTATATAAATAGCTTAGCCGACTAATGAAGATGATCAATGTAAAGACCCAAAAATTAGTATTAATAAGCAATTCCCTAAAACAATATTATTGTAGTTAGCTTAATAACTTGATGCCCCTATTAGATTATCAAACTAAATCATTATAAATGCTTATTGCAGATGGAATCTCTATATTTCTCAGGTCTACGGAATTAATATTATGATAGAACTTTTACCTTCTCATGAAATAAGATAATTAAAGTTAACATTAATTATTTTCTATTCTCAAAGCCCTTTCCATTTTTAATTAAAATAGTAATTATGTATAAAGAATGAATTGTATAATTCTCTTTAATTTTCAGTGGAGTCAAAGAAGAAGAAGTCTTTTGGCTAATTTATTTTAAATTTTAGTGCATAACTTAAAGCTTTATACTAACATTTCCAAGATGAAGGCATAGGTGATTAATTATACATTTAGCAAAGGATTCTAATTGACAATGTGATTTTTTCTGAGATTTTATTTTAACCCCTGATATCTTTTTGATCATTAAATTAAGTATTGCTTTTCTTAATGAATTAGGATAATATTTATTCCAAAAAGACATTGGTTAAATTTTTGAATTTGTTAACTGGCTTATTAAAAATTAACTTCAAATTGATGTTTCCAAAATAACGAACAATGCAAATAGATAGAAATAATTGTGACTAATGAATAAAAAGATTCTTCAAAAAGTTATAAACCTTAAAAACTTGAAATTACTTAATTCGAATATTATATATTATCAATAATTTTTATTCAAATTCAATAAAAAATTCTAAATCTTAAAACCTTTATTAAAAATTTTATATTACAAAATATCTTAATTTCAAAATATATTTTGATAAGTTTTATATAAATATTTATAAAATCTTCTTACTCAAATTATTTGATACATTTAATTTCAGACTAAAGTTTGGAATCTTTTTTTAGACGCTACGTATCAATATTTTCATTATTACCTTTAAAAGATGCTTAATTATAAAAATTAGAAATATTTAAGAGTTGAGTATTCTAATAGCAATGATTTACTATAAAGAATAACAAATAAATTTAGAGAAATCCCGAATATAAGAAATTTGAATCAGTTTTGCGATTACATGAAGTCCATATTCAAAATTACATCAGTGTTATAAGAATTTCTTAATCAATGCCTAGTTGGAGCAACAGATGAAGTTATATTACGATTAATTGCAATCCTAATTAGATGAAGCATCTCAAGAAATTAAAAATTGTAATAGGAGATATCTCAATAAAGTATTAATTATGTGACATTAGGCTAAATCAGAAGTTTAATTTATTTTATAAATATAAATAAGTATTGGACTATATTAAGAAATTAGTTAGAAATTATGAATAATTTAAGAGATAAAATAATTGCTTTAATATTAGTAAGTTGAAATATACCAACGAACCAATAATATTTAAAGTTAGTTAATATAGTTAATCTATGATGAAAGGAAGATAAACTTTGGCAGAAACTTCCAATATTCAAATAGTAAATCTAGTAGAAATCAAACAAAATATAGTGCAAATAAAGGTAATTAAAATAATTCAAGAAGAGTAAAGACCATAAGTATTTACTAAAAATGAAATGAATAAATAAACTCATAATTTTCATTTATATGCTTAAATAAATTTATACATACATTAGAATCATTTGACTATCAATGATTTTTATCAATTTTTTCATCTTGGTAATTAATTTTATCAAACAAATTAAATCGAAATTTAGAAAATAATAATTATTCTTATATCATATTTAACAATACTTAAGTAGGATATCTCTACTTCTGCAGCTGTCAATACTTATGTTGGATAATTGTATTTCCAATCTTTCATATTTGAGCAAGTTATTTAAAATAATGCCAATATAAAAGGAAAGCACAAAACTTTATATCTTATAAACTTTGCATAGTCTAATCTCACTTATCTTATGACTTTGTCTAAGTTGCATTTACTGAACTAAAAGGATAATCAAATATATCCCCAAAAATATAGAAAATAATAATCCATTACAATGGCCTTAAATAAGATGACTTTTATTTCTTTTAATTCATTTTATTATATTACTGAATTATTGATTTTATCGCCATGTCTTATCATATAATTATTGGATGGACTAATAATATTGGAATACAAATTTGTTGATTATAGCAACATATCATTTACTTTAACTTGCAAAACTTTATATTGGTGTTTAATTGCATTTGGTGGAACATATTCAAATGCTGAATGCATCAGGATTTCTATGAATGGAATTCTGAAAATTGATGATGCATTAGAGCAAAATTAGATATCATTTATATTTCCTTCTATAGACGTTAGTAAGACATCTATATTATTCTAATATTGATTTGATCATTTATTTCTGATTTAGGGATATTTTATGGTAGATAATTGAAAAATTATCCAAAGTATTTTAGAGTTCATGGCATGATATTTATATTTTTATCTATAGCTACTTACTTTTGGAATGATTTAGTAACAATAAAAAAAAGATATAATAATTAGTAAATAAAATAATTATTCATTTCATTTTTGGAGTAGTTATTTTATTAAGAAATGGTAGAATTATTCTAAAAATACTTACATAATTTTAAGAGAAGCAGCTTATGATATAAATGACTTGAAGGTTCCTGGAGGATAATATATCTTTAAGAAAATTAAAGGTATAGAAATTGGAAGTTACTTATATGGATCTTATCCAATTAAAATTAAATATAGATATGAACTAATTGAATATTTTTAAACAAAAGATTGGACTAAATCTTTACCACCAGAATTACCATAATAATCAAACAAAATACACTTTTTTATTAAGAAATGTAATGGATAAAAAAAATTTAAGCAAATTCATTCATTAGCTTCTCCCAAAAGATTTATGAAATTACAGGACCTTATGGTTTTTGGATTAGAATTGGATGATCACAGTTCTTGTATACATTATGTGTTTTTTTAAGGTACGAATGGATTACCAGATTAATAATGATATACTCAACTTGAGAAATTTAAATTAGTAATGAATATTTCATCAAAAACATAAATTTTAGCATCCCCCTATATTATAGGGTTTAGAATATTTAAATAATTATTATTATCTCAATCTATTTGAATTACACATAACTAAATAAAACTCTAGTAAAAAAGATATCCAAGATAAATTAAAATATCAATTTTCCAAAGTTTATGTATATTGATATTATTATTAGAATATGATATCTTAGAATCGTTTCAACGATGTGGTGTAGATTTTATTAACAGTATAAATTTGAGAAATTAGATCAACCTTTTTATTTCATTATTTATTAATCAGTCATTCATATTAAAAAAAACATTTTCTTTTTTGATGGCATATCTTTAGTTCATATCAGCATTTTTGTATCTTCCTCTTACTTTAATATCTTTTCTCTTATTACCATCGCTTCTCATTGTACCTTTTATTATAAGTTCTTATTTCTGAATATATTCATTGCTTTCAACAAAACTTATTATTGAAAGCTTCTTTTTAAAGATTATCTTTTTATTACTAATTAATTTCTTTTTCATTAACATTTTAATTTTGTTATTTTTATTCTTATTTCAATTCTTTATCATTTGATAAATCTTATTTATCTTACTTTTCTATTATTTCTACTTTTTCATCTTTTTTATCATTATTTACAACAATTTTTACTTTTTAAAATTCATCAATTAAATTATTATCTATATCACTCATCACTTTTATAAAAATAAAGTTAAAATGTAAAAATCTTATTTTACAAATGTTAAGATTAATTTAATTTTTCCTGAGATTATTAGAAAAACGTTTAGATAAACTTTTCGGGTGAATACCTTTCTAATCTATTGTTTCTATAAAAATAATTTAAAGTTCTAATGAATATCTCATTTATCAATAGCATATTTTAATTAATCGATATATTTTA